AACGTCTTATACACGTTTTGGACGTCTTTTGAACGTTTTTTGAACGTTTTGGACGTCTTTTGGACGTTTAAAAAACGTCTTTTTTAGGTCCAGTGCCCACTGGGTTATTGGTAAAAAGTGTAAACAAAATAAATTTAGCATGTTAAATAATAAACAAGTCCAAAAATTGTACTTCTAGTGATTCTTGTAACCGCTGTACAGCATATTTAACATTCCGTTGTACAACATATTTAACATTCCGTTGTACAACATATTTAACATTCCGTTGTACAACATATTTAACATTCCGTTGTACAACATATTTAACATTCCGTTGTACAACATATTTAACATTCCGTTGTACAACATATTTAACATTCCGTTGTACAATATATTTAACATTCCATTGTACAACATATTTAACATTCCATTGTACAACATATTTAACATTCCGTTGTACAACATATTTAACATTCCGTTGCACAGCTCTTTTTAAGATTACTGACATGAGGTGAGATGTCTTGAAGACATCTGACAGATCTTTATTTCACAGATTACCTTATTTTACCTTTTTGGTGTCTTTAATACAACTATTATCAATTATCTTAAATACGGTTAGTTATCTTACATGACATAGTATGAACGCGCAAATAGAGATGAACCTTTAACTTATTGTTATAGATTAGAGGAGCCGCTAACGAATAAAATCATTTAAACCCCCCTAAATTTGAGGGGGGGGGAGGGTTAAACTTTATACGATCATAACCTCTTTATAGGGATTACAAATTTTATGTGGTCATAATTTTTGAACGCTAAGAGAGAAATACGGTTTTAAAAAAATCATTCTACTGACCATGCAATAATTGAATTGGTTTTCTTTTGAAAAAATTAGAAAACTATGGTGTTAAAAATCAAAGTTTACTTTGGTTTAAATCATACTTAACTAACAGAAAGCAATTTATACTTAAAGAATGAAAAGACTCAAAAAACTACTTAATAACTTGTGGAGTACCCCAAGGTTCTATTTTGGGACCATTATTGTTCTTACTTTATATAAATGATTTATATTTATCATCAAAAGTATTAAATACTATCTTATTTGCAGATAACACTAATTTGTTTTATTCTCACAAGATATTACTGTTCTTTTTAAAATATTTAACGAAGAATTAGACAAGATCAACGAGTGGTTTATAAGTAACCGACTATCATTAAATGTAGAGAAAACAAAATTTATCCTATTTCTTAAACCTAGTAAAGCCGAGAATATTCCTCTTAAACTACCCAATCTTTAAATCAATAATAAAATAATTAAAAGGGAATTGACGACAAACTTTCTGGGAGTGCTCTTAGATGAAAAATTGTCATGGAAATTTCATATTAAATATATTGAAGGGAAGATCTCAAAAAATATTGCCATGTTATATCGAACAAAACCTTTTCTTAATAACGAGTCTTTAAAAAATTTATATTTTTCGTTTATACACAGCTATCTTTCATACTGTAACATTTCCTGGAGTAGCACTAATCACACTAAACTGAAAAAAAATTTATAGTAAACAAAAACATGCTTGCAGGATAGTATTTGTGGCAAATAGAAAAACACAATGCGAACCTCTCTTACGTCAGCTTGGAGCTTTAAATATTCATAAGCTTAATATTCATCAAGTAATGTTATTTATGTTTAAAGCAAAACTTGGGTTTTCTCCAGTAACATTTCAATCCTACTTTAATGAAATCTCCCGTAAATATCCAACTAATTTTCAGTGAATAACTTTGTGGTTCCCATAAATCTACTTAAGTTAAGTTCGTACCAGACTCAATATTTGGAAAAAATTTCTTCCAATCTTTAATAAAAAACAAAACTTCGTTTCAAACTGCACTTTGCAAAGTTTTAGGGATGATTCAAAACGGCATTTACTGAACATGGAATTCGATATATTAGATTTCAAATACCTTTTTTAAAAACAATTTAAAGAAAAAATTTTATTTTTTAAAAACAATTTAAAACTAAATGACTTGAAAAATAAAATAAATCTTTAACACTTTCTTTAGCTTTTATTAAAATGATTTCAAACCATTAGTATAAAAGATAACGAAAATAAAATTGTCTTTTTCTTTCATATTTTTGATGATATTAAATAATCAGCCAAAATACTTATGTTTACATATATTGCTTTTTTTTTTTTAATCAAACAACGCTTTTTTTTGTGTGTGTGTTTATAACTTTCATGATTTTCTGTCGTTTTTACTTTTTATTTTTAAAATTATTCTGCTGGAAGATTGTTAGCAACAAATTATTTTATTGCTGAAGTTTTTTGTTTTTGTTTTTGTATTTATACTGTCTTTTTGTCTTTTATTATTTATTGTGCATGTAAATTTTTGTGTGACGGGGCTCGGTGATAAGACAACCTGTCTTCTTCTTGCTCCGGCTAGGATTTTCTTTTATTGTAATTTCTTTTTTGTAATATTTATCAACGGCAAAATAAATAAATAATAAAAAAAAAAAAGAAATAATGCTATGAAATTTAAAATTTATCAATGAATACAAGTCTTATTAAAAATAGTTGTTTTTATGAAACATAAAATTTATCAATGAATATAAGTCTAGTTTTAATCTAGAACAGTGTTGATAAACAGCGTAAATCTTCTTGCCTCCACTTTTCTTCTGCAGCAGACGGTTGCTGCCTCCCGATCAACTTTTAGCGGCAAAATGTTCTTTCTTCCGCCTCCAGTGGCTTCCGCTTTTCTATTGGCGGCCGCAGCCAGAGTTCTTTTTTCGAGGCTAAATGTTTTGGAGGCCGACGCCAATAGAGTGGCGGAAGCCAATGGTGGCCGCCTCTAGAAGAAATTTTGGAGGCAAAGCCATTTGGAAGCCGCCTCCAATGGCTTCTGCCGTCAAATCGGAGGCGGAAATATTTGCCTCCCGCCGGCGGATGTGATGAAAAATAATTGCTCGTTTGCTTTAAAGCAATTAAATTTTAATGTTAAATACTTGACATCAAAGTTTTATTTTATTGACTATTTAAAAAATCTTTTGAAAAAAATTATAACTTTGTCAGAGCGGTTGTTTATCTACAATTATCGAATAAATTAGTAATTTTTATTTCAAAACAAATATTAAAAATTAAAAATTTTGTTTACATGCCTTAAGCAAAAAAAAAAGTTTATGACAAATAATTAAAGTTATTGATCGTTTGATACTTTATCGCCCTTACGTCACGCTAAAACTTAAATTTTATCGACCATAACATTAAATTATTAATTCTAGTCATTATATATTGTAAAAATATTTAAAAAACACAACATCTTTTAGCATTATTAAAAATTAATAAAGTTAATTTATTTAACATTTATTTATTTATTTATTACAACAAGTTTATTTATTACAACAAGTATTTAACATTTTTTTCTAGTTAATATTTAATTGCTTTAAAGCAAACGAGCAATTATTTTTCATTACATCCGCCGGCGAGAGGCAAATATTTCCGCCTCCAATTTGACGACCGCAGCCAGTTAGGAGGCAAAAGCCGTTGGAAGCGGCCTCCAAATGGCTTTGCCTCCAAAATTTCTCCTGGAGGCGGCCACCATTGGCTTCAGCCACTCTATTGGCGTTGGCCTCCAAAACATTTTGCCTCCAAAAAAGAACTCAGGCTGCGGCCGCCAATAGAAAAGCGAAAGCCACTAAAGGCGGAAAAAAGAGTATTTTGCCACTAAAAATTGATCGGGAGGCCGCCGTCAACAGCTTCCGCCTCCTTAAAAAGTCGGCCTTTCGGAAAAAAGTTACTTTGCCACCGGGCGGCATTATCAACTCTGATCTAGATATGTAAGTCTAGATATATTATCATACATCTAGACTTATATTCTAGATATATTATATTCTAGATATTAAGTCTAGATATATGATAAGTTTTTTATTTACTTTACATTATAGGTTTTTTTGTTTCAAAAAATCAATTCATTATATTGTTTATCTATTCAATGAGGAAAAAAACTTATGCGTTTTTGTTATGAAACTTGTGATTGTGACACAAACAATCCAACCGAAAAATGATTTTATTAATATGTCTTTTACTACAATTTTAGTTATAACAATCTTTTCATAGATCCTCTTCAACAAAATATCAAAAGAATACCGTAATATGATGTATAATATACGCAATAAAATAAAATGCGTAGTGCGCTTATAAGATTATTATGCAACAAACTTTGTTTAATCTTATTAGAGCACTACTTTATAACAAAAAAAAAAAAAAGTTTTTAAACTTGAAAAACATTTTTGGTTAAATGTACTCTGAATAAATCTTTTCTTGTTTTATTTTTACTTTTTGTTCGTTGAACAAAAAGTAAAAATATAACAAGAAAAGTTTTATGAACAATTATTCAGAGTAACTTTAACCAAGAGCGTTTCTCAAGTTTTAAAAATTTCTTTTTTTTTTTTTGAACTCAACGAGTATAATTTACCCTTGAATCCTTTTCAAAAGCTACTCCATACTCTGAGTCCTCGATAAAAAAAATGCTATATTCAGAATATTACTATCTAAGGAAGTTTATATTTGTTAATCATACTCGCTCTTAGATAACAGCTTTCATTTTTATTTTTTTCAAACTTGTTTTAAAAGTTTTTCAGGAGACACTTTGTTATTGTAACGGTATATGAAAATTAAAAGCTCATAGATATTTCAAATAATTTATGGACAACTCCTAATGATCTTGGAGTCGACGTTGTGTGATTTGTTTAAATGTATATATTTGTATATATATTTATTATTTATATTTGGTATATATTTGATATATATATATATATTTATATTTGGTATATATTTGGTATATATTTATATTTGGTATATATTTAATTTACTGTAAAATTCTAAAAGATAAAAATGTACCGAATTTGAAATTCAATCTTAATGATAGTTACCTGTGTTTTAAAATGATTTTTTATTTTGTAATTTAGTTATAAATCTGTTTTAAATCAAAAATTATTTATGAAAATATAAAAAAATCAAATTTAACCATACCCATATGACAGTAATTATACCCATTTGGAAAACATTGCTGAAAATTTTTTATTTCAAAAGTTCGTTCCATTTTTTCCGCCTCACGAATTATTTCATCAGCAACTATTCTCCCGCCATTCGACAAACGTTTAGGGAATATCATAACCAAAGTTTTGTTATTAGCTTTTTTACATTTATTGAAGCAGTTTTTTTTGTCGCGTATATCTTTTTTAACTTGATTTTGAACGTATTCACAGGAAGCAGGCAATGGTATTATTTTATGAGACCCGAGGTAATGTTGCTGATACATTACATCATAAATAATACTACCAGCCATAATAACGTCAGGGTTATACCTTACAGCATCATAAAGTTCTTTTTGTAACTGAGCCATTTCATTGAATGATGTTGCTATGTGTCCGTCAAACCGGTAACTGCTATTTAAAACAATTTTTTTATTAAATGGTGCAAATATCAAACAATGCCAAGCATCAAACCCACAAACAATAATGTCTGCTTCAATTAGTTCAGAATCATTTTTGTACGCTTTCCAAAAAAGTTCTTGCGTTAATTTTAAATGTTCCTTTGAATAACCATGAACAAGTTTGCTCTTAAGTTCATTAAACTTTTTATCTCTGATTTGCCAACTAATATACTTGTAACCTGCTTTTGGTAATATTTCTTTATTATCTGCTGCAGGTCCTACATGACATCCAACTCCTAAAACAACAATACTTTTTATGTATTCATTTTTTTCTTTTACTTTGAGAGGTTTAAATAAACACAGTGCAGTTTGTGGCGAGGAAACAATGTTTATGTTAGCATCGTAAATTTTTTCCCAGCATTTTTCCTTTGAAATCGAACCGCTTTGAATAAAGTTTGAAGTTTCCAGTTTATAAAACTGACTTTTTGTTCTGTGTTCAAAAACATTAAGATAACGAGTCTTTAAAAATATTTTATTAAAATAAATCTTTTTATATGATATAAAAACGAGTACAACAGCTACTGTCAACGCAAAAAAATGCTTTATTCTTCTTATCACTCTCATCGTAATTCAACAAAATAGTCTGTTAATTTGTTTCTATTACGCCATTTATAAACCACATTCGAACGGTTTTTTAACCAGTAACTTACATAAACCAGTAACCTAAAATATCATCTCAGCTTTTATAATACAAAATATTGTAGGTGTAACTGCTTTCCAAAATAAATTTAAATTATCATTTTTGTAACATTTGTATTTATTTATTAAAAAAGTTATAGAAACATAATAGAGATGAAAGAGATCAAAGACACTACAGGCTCTTAAACTATAAAGAATTCGCTTGGATATAATTGAGGGCGTTTGCACGTCATATAAAAACTTTGTATGCATTGTTTAAGTTAACAAATATGTTTAAGAAAAATTTAGATTTAATTAAGACTTATCTAATACATAAAAACGTTTTTTTAAAGCATATATAAATATATATATATATATATATATATATATATATATATATATATATATATATATATATATATATATATATATAAATTATAATATATATATATATATATGTATAAATTATAATATATATATATATATATGTTCTAATTTATATATATATATATATATTTATAAATTAGATTATATATATATATATATATAAATATATATATATATATATATATATATATATATATATATATATATATATATATATATATATATATATATATATATATATATATATATATATATATATATATGTATAAATTAGATTGTGATTGAATAGTAACAACTGACTTTGTTTAAAGCATGACTCAGAGTTTCATTCTTTATGTGATCATCAAACGTTAACGACAAAAAAAGTTATATACAAAATTGCAACACAGTGTTAGCTTACCCGGTAAGCACATGAAAAAATTTTTTTAATGTTTTTTAACAAAAAAAAAAATTCCTTTAAGATACAGAACGACATTATCTAAAAAAAAGTTTAATAATAAACGTTTAAAAGACGTCCAACAAAACTTTTTTAAAGATGTGGTGAATTAAACGTTCAAAAAATTTCTGTTTGGACCGAATACTTCCTGGAGCGTTTATCAAATTTCTTGAAAAATTCCTTCTGCTATCATATCTCCTTTTACGTATTTTAGAAGCGCTCATTAATCACAAAGTTGCCAACTAAATCATTTTGATTCTAAAATTGATAAAATTTTTCGGTAGAGTTCTTCCCTAAAAGTAGAGGGAATTCGTAAAAATTGAATTTCTACATACCATACTAATACAGCAATTATTTTTAACTTTTATTGCAAAGTTTATTGGACAAACCTCTTTATGAAACTTTTTTTATAAAGCTTGAAGTAAAATTAAAACTAGAGTTTAAAGCCAAATGAAAATATTTTACATATCAGATTATATTTTTTGGAGTTCGCGCAGTATTTAAAATAATTGCTAAAGTAAAATGTTAACAGAACTATGACTCTGGTACCATGAATGTCATGAACTAAACTTCTTATAGGACATCATAAAATAAAAAACTACCTTATCGTATAACATTATATGATGTTATATGAACTCTATTCTAATGTGATATCAGATCTATTTCTTTGATCGTATATCAAATGATTTTTGTTCTATTGTAACAATGTTTCACTGTTGCTTTTTTTTATTCATCTATCTATCTACCAATTTTTGTAACTTCAACATAAAATTAAGGGTTTTTTACTTCAACTTTCAGATAAATCTTTATAACGACCCTCAATCAAAATATTTTTTTTAACGCGATTGTTCATAAAAAAATAAGATTGTGCGGATGTAGCATTTTTTGATATTTGAGATATCTAACTTCCAGACATGGAACATGGAACAAACTTCAAAAATTTTTATGTTTATACTTATATTAGATAAGGATGCTTTGCAAAAAATTGCGATGATTGGAGTCTGGGAACAAAAAAGCCCTAAAATGTTAGCTACACCTGTCCAAAACATGACTATTCTCAACCATGTTCATCGACAAATTTTAAAGTTTACACAATAATTTTTTAGCGTTGAACAATTATGGTTTTATAAAATTTTCAACCCCCTCTAATTTAGGGGGTTCAAACTTTTTATTATCGTCGTTTTTGAACGCTTAAAGATTTTAGTGTGAGTTTTAAAATTTATCGATGAATATAGATTTAGTACTATTAAAAAAAGTACTAAAAAAGATTTAGTACTATTTTATCAACTTGTTGCTCTTACGTTTGGAGCAGATAAGGCTAAAATTTTAGGGTTTTTTTTGTTTCCAGGCTTCAATCATTGCAATTTTTTGCAAAACATCCGTCATTTGATATATGTATAAACATAAATTTTGTGAGTTTGCTCCATGTCCAGAAGTTAAGCATCTCAAAGATCAAAAATTTTGGCATTCGTGCCTGCAGCTCATGTGCAAAATACATACAAAGAGTATTAACAATTTTAACTATTAACCCATTGGGCACAGAAAGTATGCTGGAGGTCTTTTTTTTTTAATTTTATTTAGGTGCCCCAAGAAGTCCTTGCGGTCTTATCACAGAGCACCGCGAATGAGCATTTTATTGGAAGTTTACACTTACTTTCTAACCGATGTCGTAAAACTTGCCCAGAGGTGGGGTTTGAACCACAGTTCCTTTTTTTCTGAGACAAGTGCGCCACCACTGCGCCACGGCTGCTTAAGGACGCCCTATGGACTTGTGACTTCGTAAAAACTTTCTATGGCCCGCTAGGTAGGAATAAAGAAATGATATTTCATCAGCACTGTTTTATCAGGGCTTTTTTTTTTTTTTTTTTCATATTTTAAATTTTTTCTGTTGATTTTAAACTTACTGATTATTTATAGTTTTTTTCTGTTGTTTTATTTTGTGCAATTTTTTTATAAAAATATATTTATAGTTTTTCAAGATCCGCAGCAGCAAGTAAAATTAACACTGGTTTTATGAAAAACAAAACCTTATTCTCCTAACTTTTAATTTAATAAAGTAACTATAATGTTTAATTGTAAAATAAATTTATTAGTTGCAACCAATTAATGTATAATTGCACATTCTAACGTCTGGTACAATATCTGTCCGGTATTATTATGCTATTTTTTAAACTTGACTTTTGCTATCTTTTACTCTAATATTCTTCGGGTTTTTTTTCAAATCATTTACTCTTGATCCATTAAAGCGGGTTATGATTCTCTTTAATAAGCTGAACTCGTCATCTTAGACTTTGGTTTGTGGCAATTAGCTTGAGGAGGATAAACCACAACACCATACTTAAATAAAAAAATAATAATAATAATAATAAAAGAAACTATTTGAATAAATGAATTTAAAATTTGCTTGCCAACAAAAATGATACAAAATTCGTTTGCCATACGTAGTTATTTTACAAGCCTTAAAATTCGGGTATAATATTTCTTATTAGGGATTTCATTTTTTTATTTTTTCGTTTTAATGCTTTAATTTTCGTTTTTACGATTTTGTCTGATATTAAATTATTTTTTTTAACATATATTTGTTTCAAAGTTATTTCAAAATTTTACGATCTTCTCGGGCATCTTTGTGTATCGGGGTACTTTTTTATTTTTACTTATAATGTATACATATTATGAAATTGGCGTTTTTTATATTTTTATGTATACATATCATGAGATTATATTTTTATGTATACATATCATGAGATTGGCGTCAGCAATGCAACTAATGGATACGTAATAAACTACAATAGAAATGTTTTATTATGAATAATTAAATAAAGGTTATTCAGTTATCGAACGTAATAATATTTCTATAATAGAGAGCCTTCTGATTTAAAGTGATATGTTCAAAACTTAAAAAAAAAATTTAAGAAAAGTAAAAATAATAATAACTAAACTAAATAAAAAAATATATTTTAAAAATGTGGATAATAAGCTTTTTCATGTCAAACCTTAACGGCTTAAGTAACGGCTTAACTGACGAGGATAAAAGAAAAACTGTTATAAACTAGATTTTTTTCAATGCAAGAAACGCACCGCAATGATCTTTTTTTTTTATTAAAAAATTAATGTCATGGTGACCTATTTGTATCATCAGAGTCATTCAGCTACCTTGCGTAAAATAACTTAAAAAAAACTATGACAATATTCTTCATTTTGGCAATGACGATAAACGAAACAATAATTATGTAGCATTATTATAAACGACTTTTAATATTTGATAATTTACATTTACGTGCGATAATGGTGTAACGCTTAGATTGAGGGAAAAACTTTATAACAAGAAGTGTGTGTGTATATATATACCCAGTGGAAAAAAAGACGTCGAAAATACGTCTTTAAAAGTCTTATTTACGATGTCTTTAAGCCGTCTTTTTTTAATCGATTATGCAAATCTAAAAAACATATTTTTCGACATCGAAAAGACGTCTTTTGTTATCTTAATCTTGACATAAAATTCGTTTTTAAGACGCCTTTTTTCAGTCGAATATGCAAATCTAAAAGAATCTTTTTTCGACGAACGACATTTTTGTCATACTTTTTAGTATACTATAGTATCCTATACACTATAGTATTCCTACTTTTCATATATGAAAAGCTGTTTTTATCAAATGAAAATGATAATAGCTCTTCATACAAAGTATGACAAATTACCGACTTACCGACTATTAATTCAAAAAGGGCTAATCCTTTTAACCCCCTCATGTTTCCAGCGCGGTCCTTTCTTTTTAAACCCACTAGGTTAGATTGGGACAGGAGTAAACAGTCTAAAAATATATAAAAATGAGTGTGCCAAAGAAATTTACAACCATCAAAATGACTGTACAACGATGTATTTTATTATGTAGTACTTAAACCAAGCTAAACATTTGCACTCAAATTTGCTATGAAAACCAAGTTATTGAAAACAGATATTTAAATTTTTCTATCTTCTATGACGTTACTTTTTAATTGAATTTCGCAGAAATTAAGTGTTGTAGACTCATAACAATTTATTGACTGAAGACTTTCAAAACGAAAAGATAATTCAGCTAATACACTTTAAGAGTAGTAGTTTATTTAAACTGGATAAAAGTATTAATCAAAGCTCTATTTTAGCCTGAAACATTATGATGCTTTACTTAACAAAATAAAATTATAAAAACTGGCGATATCAATAGCAACACAGATGAAATACACATAAACAAAAATGAAGACTAGAAAGCCGCAAAGATGTTTAGACATAAGAAAGTGTACCTTTTCAGTATCATTTTCACTTAGTCTTTTGTATCCAAACCAAAAGATTTGGAAACAGTTCTAAAG